ATGCTCATATTTTAACAAAATATTAGCAGACATATTCTTCTTTACAGACATTATACTACCCTACTTTACATGCACACTACAACAAAACAAGCCTTTTGTAACGGTGCTAAATTGTTACATTTGATGGGTAATGTGTTACAAAAAGGCTAAAGCAACACTTTTATAAGCGTTACTTCAGGTCTCGTTGCATAAAGTGATATGCAACACTTTTTAGCATCTTATGTAACATTGAGTTAAAATGTTACAAAAACATATCATATGCAACACTTTTTTACAACGACCTGGTTTACATCTTACGGAACACTTTTTAATATATGCAACACTTAAAATGTGACTTTAGGCAACATCATATCTATGTTTATGTAACACATCTATATTACCATTTTGTAACATTAATGTATATAAAGCAACACTTTCACCGGTACTTTATGTAACAAATTTTCTTTAATTGGCAATACGTTTATAGTGTTACGTATTGTCACACCTCTTACTTTTTTGGTTAATTAATAATTAACAATAATATCAACAATTTTTTAACAACAAAGTCACATTTTATATATATGGTACACATAATAACAAGTTCAATATACAAACAGAAATATTATATTTAAATATTCAATAGTACAGAATCATCATTACATATTTTCTCCTTGAAGAAAGTTGAAATATCAACATCTAAAAGGAATACATCAGAAGTAAAAACCTAGATTTGCACCGTTTAAACTAACTACGGAGTATAATATATCTTCAATGTTTTGTGGCTTAAAAAATGAACTCCAAATCATTAAACCACTCCATTATGTGGAAGGATGATACTGTGCATCAGAATCTCCCTAGCATTTCCCTGTGAGAGATAAAAGAAAACAACACAACAAAAGTAAATAAAAGGAACACTAAAAGAGAATATAAAAAACAAAAAACAAACCAAAATTTAATTTTGTACGAAGAGCATAGTATAGTGATCCAGAATAGTACAATTACAATTAACTGGTCACTTTGTCACACAAAGTTCTCATGCACACACCTATAAATATAAAACACAATGGATTATAAAAAGACATGAGTTATTTGATTTTATCAATACCAAATAAAGGTCATTCCTTACCCTAGTGTGCTGATATGGTGCTTGCATTTTTTCCCTAAAAAACACTGCCATAATTTATCTCTAGCTTTCACCATTTTTTCTTGTGCATCAGTCTTCCTAGCATTTCCCTGTGAGAGATAAAAGAAAACAGCATAACAAAAGTAAATAAAAGGAACACTAAAAAAGAATATAAAAAAACAATAACCAAACCAAATTTTAATTTTGTACACAGTACAAGTATAGTGATCCAGAATAGTACAATTGCAATTAACGGGTCACTTTGTCACACAAAGTTCTCATGCACGCACGGCATCTATAAATATAAAACACAATGGATTAGAAAAACACAATTATAAGTCAAATATTCTATTATCTTCTCAATAATGAGTACACATGAGTATTAACTATGTTTTTCCCTGATAAACATTGCCATAATTTATCTCTAGCTTTAACCATCTTTTCCTGAAAAAAACATTCAAAGTATTAACTATGTTTGAGTAATACTACGGTACTTATAATAGAAAAACAATCTAATGATAACAGTAAAAGTAAATAGTAAACTTAGCTAATTCAAAATCTTTCACAGCCATAATTTCAAGATCCAAAATACAGAAAGATGCAAGACTTTCTGTCTTTCTTTCCCCAAAATCATGTACACCCTTTATTTGGATGTACCCCAATAGGATAATATAATACTCCGTACGTAGTAAGAATTAATGGATATACCTATGATAATTGTAGTAACTGAGCATATTCCTATATATTCCAACTGCCTTCATATCACTGATTCTCTATTATGTGGGTGGTAATAATGGCCAAAAGAAGACAATATTATATCATACAAGTATACAATATTGGGTATATGAACTCCCATAAATGGAAAACGTGAAATCATCCACTTTCAACTCCTCCATTTTCATCAGAACTTATTTTAATATGGTTTGAATAATAAAAGACACTGTTTGAATTCACACTAGATTATTTGTTTAACAAGTAGCATCATGTATGGAATAAGTTGCATCAATGTTTGAGAGGGCATGAAATTCTTCTTCAACTTAATTGTAATTTTATAATTTTGGCTCCTATACAAATCTCAATGAGCTCTTTAAGCAGAAGATATGGTAGATTTTTAATCATATCATTACTAGATAACTAGAATGATGAAATACGAAGTACAAATTATTACATCCATTATTGTTTCTATATGAGATAACTTCTCAAAAGTATATTGCCAGGTAGTCTTCTTTGAACATTAGAAAGGTTGCTACAGATTACTATATCAATTGAAAGAAAAAGAATTTCTCATTGACACAATTTAACAAACACATTATAGACATTTCAAAATATACATACTTACACCTGGACTGTTTCACGATATGTCTTTGTTTTTAATAGGGGTAATTTCTTCTGCTTTGAGCTCTTAGATGTATAATATTCAAGATCTATCAAAAATCAAAGCCACAACACAAATCTTGGATAAGAAAGTACTAGTATACAAAAAACGAAGGCAAATTTAAAAAATTAAAAACCTAATGGATATTTTAATATTTTAAAATCATATTACCTGAATATGGTAGGAGAGTAGAGAAGACGGTGACATATCAGCTGACGGTAGACGAAGGAGCAGCGGTAGCTATGCGCAGGAGCGGCAGTAGGCGGAGGAGCGACGGTAGGCGCAGGGGCTGCGGTAGGCGTAGAGTCGGCGGTCTGCGCAGGATCGGCGGAGTCGGCGGGCACAAGCTAAGAGTCGGATCTAGTCTTTAACACCGATGCTTCTTTAGAAGTGTTGTATTTGGGGTTGAGATTATTTGTATAGTATCTTGAATTAATAGGCTTTTTCTTTTTTGAATAAAATTCTAATACAGAGTATTATAATTATGGTGAGTACGGTTTATGACGACACTTATAGTTTTAAGCAACACTTTGAAAATAAGTGTTGCATAATACTTAATAGTTGTAACAATTTTTAATAAGTGTTGCAAGAAATGAATAATTTAGATGTTTTGCAACATTTTTATATAACTGTTGCCTAATCTTAACTTTTGATGCTATATGTAACAAAAATAAAAATGTTACAAAGTTAATGTTACAAAAAGTCAATTTTGTTGTAGTGATGATTGTGTGAATATACTACCTCCGTTCTCTTTTAGTTGCAACATTGGACTTTTTGCACTATTCACATCTTCTACTTTGACTACATTTTATTAATTGATGTATAATAAATTAAATTTTTAAAAAATATTGTTAAATTCTTCACATTCTAAAATTTCAAAATATGATTTTTTTAAATTTTTTACTAATAAGGAATGAAAGATATTAATGGTCAAACTTGTGCGTTGGCAAACGTGAAATGTTGACTGTTGCAATTAAAATGGAACGGAGGAAGTATTAACTTCCATTGATGTTTATCATTTTAATACTTTCAAAGTGACACTATCGGGGCATGCCCCGGATGTTACAGTAGTGAGGTGTCTAATGTAGACTTAGTCAAGCAAATTCAATTATTGAGGTCCAATGAGCCGGATATTATACTCCACACCATTATTGTCCATATGTTTAAGTTTAGAATTGAAATGCTTATTTAAGTTTATAAATCCATTTCATATACTTTTGAAATCTAAATGTTACTTTATTAAATATAGTTATTAAAGTTAGAGAAATTCATCGGATGATTCACCAAAAAAACATTGATATTTGCACGGACTTCGCACGGATTGTGCGAATTTGGCACGAACCGTAACATATTTTTGGCACAACGTCGTGCCAAATTGTTGGTGACAAAACGAGATTGGAACGGAATTTGGCACGGCTTTGACGCATCCGTGCCAAATCCGTGCCAAAGACCTTATGAATTTGCCAAAACTTCGTGTCAGATCCGTGCCAAAACTTCGTGTCGGATCCGTTCCAAAATCGTGTAGATTGCCTAATAAATTAAAGTATTTCCTAAAAAGTTGAAACTTCATTCCCATATTTTTTATTTATATAAGGATGTTTTTACTTGGATTGTTTTCAGTCTCAAACCAGACTAGGTCACACTAGTATTAACAATAATAATGACGATGATACTAATAAATTATAATAACAACAATAACAATAATAGTAACCATACAAAATAATTTTTAGGGAAATTAAAGTTTGTGATTTAGGCTACACCATCCCCTTTAGATATCAAGTTAGTGATCATATGAATTTTCCATTAAAAGAGGTAGTTCTTTGACTGGCAAGATAATTTCAAAATGTGTAGTGATTTTCAAAACCACTACGTATTAATGCTTTTGAATCGGCCATGCTCATATATTAACAAAATATTAGCACACATAATCTTCTTTATTACAGACATTATACTACCCTACTTTACGTGTGAATATTACGAAGTAATAACTTCTATTGATGTTTGTCGTTTTAATACTTATCAAAGTGACACTATCGGAGCATGTCCCGGGTGTTACACTAGTGAGGTGTCTAATGTAGACTTAATCAAGAAAATTCAATTATTGGAGTCCAATGAGCCAGATATTATAATCCACATCTTCATTGTCCATATATTTAAGTTTAGAAATGCTTGTTTAAGTTTTCAAACCCATTTCATCTACTTTTGAAATCTAAATGTTACTACGTACTTTATTAAATAGTTGTTAAAATTAAAGAATTTCATCGGATGATTATGTAATTAGATCAGATTGCCTGATAAATTAAAGTATTTCCTAAAAAGTTAAATTGGCATATTTTTTAAATCTATATAAGGATGTTTTTACTTAGACAATTTTCAATCCCAGACCAGATAAGACTAGTATTAACAATAATAATAGTAATAAATTACTATGTACTACGTATATATCATAACAATAACAATAATAGTAACCATACAAAATAATTTGTAGAGAAATTAAAGTTTGCTATTGGATTAGGCTAAACTATCCCCTTTAAATGATTTAAATTAAATGTGACAACTCTGGTACCCATTAAAAAAAATGGGGTTTCGTACCTATCATTCACTTGATTGGTCCAAATCATTATATCAATTTTAATTTAGATTTAAATAATTCAACCGCAATATTCTGATTGATCCATGTAGACAAAAGTATGGTACCTTATGAGTACCATAGAATCTTACTTAAATTAATTTATTTCGAGCTCTGGAAGGAGGCAGATTTTTTGTGATCATATGAAATTTCCATTGAAAGACGTAGTTCTTTGACTGGCAAGCTAACTTCATAGCATCACAAGAAGCTCTCACGCTCTTCTTCTTGTTCATCACCTTCCATTCGATCATCACCCTACAAATGAACCTGTTCGATAAAGCGACTGCCCCACCACCCCCGTAGGCGTCGTCGGAATCCAAGATCCGGAGCACTACCTCCCCGCCGATCCTATTGCATGGGTTACACGACGGCGGCATGCAATCCAACCAGATGCATTCCGGCTGCCCGACCATCTTCTTGTAAGCGGAATTGGCCAGCCTCACTTTGTTGTTCATGTCGGAGACGACCACCGGATGATGCTCCGCCTCCGCCTCCCCCTCTATCTCCTTTGCGGTCTTCAGTATCACCATCTCCAATGTGTCTGAGCTCTCTTCCTCTACCACGTCCATGCATCCAACGAAAATGGTGGACCGGACAGGGCGGACTGGCTTTGGGGTGATCACGCCGAGTTTCCTTTCCGACCGGCAGCGGCTCAACCGTGGCATGAAATCAATTTCCATAGGAATCCGAGAAACTTCCCGGTTTAAATTTATTCTTGATGTCCCTGTCGAGGCTTGCACCGAAATTTCCATCCCTCGTGGAGAAAGATTCCAGTGGGTCGAGATCCGATCAAATAACCCGATCGGGTAGTTATCTTGAAGAGGAGTACCACACAACAAACTAACCTTCTTAAAGGGAATAGGGAGTGAAAAGGCTGAGGAGCCTGATCTCTCCCAAGATTGGGTTGGTCTAGCCTGCAAATGAGACCAAACATTCCAGAGGTAAGGCGAGTTGATGATGCTTTCTGGAAAGGCATTGACAGAACTAGAACCTTCGCCAGCATCACCTCTGGCTCCAACTCCGACGAGCGGTGTAAGCTCAGGCTCGGGGGAGATGGGCCTATACGTCGTCAAAATCTCACCATCTTTACTACTATTGGCGTAATTAAAAGAACTACTACCCGCATAGAAAGGATTAACACCATCCATGATTATTTTGAGTAATTTATAGAAAGCAAGGGATGGATGAGATTGAGATATGTTATATTTTTATCAATTCAAGAGGCTGGCATGTGATGACTCATCACTGATGAGGAAACGAAGGTATATATATGTAATACTAAGTAGGGTGGGGTGGGGTGGGGTGTGGTAGGCCATATGGAGTAAAAAATGAAGAGAGGGCGGGTAGAGGAAGGAGATACATGTGGTGAAGAAGAGGCATTGGAGTGATTTGACAGAGATCACTGACATTTGAAGAGGGATAGCGAGGGGTACATGTTACGTGTTTGAGAGCGTTCATTACACTTACTTTTTGACCAATCACCTCATTTTCCTCGTTCGTGTTATTCCTTCTTATCTTCGATTAGCGCGCTAGTGACTGGACTCTGACTCACCGCCCCTGACTTGACTTCACTCTCAACTCTGGTTGGTGAATATATCGTGACACAAGCTTATACGGTTACTAATTAAGACCGGTCTATTCGGGTATTATATTTATTTTTGTTCAAAGAATTAAATACATACTTGTTGTTTATATAATTTTATTTCCACTTAAGGATTTTTCCATATTTTTTTTTTGCCAATAATATTACACTTTGACTAATGGTATGAAAAATTGACACAAACATTATCTTTAGCTTTGTGAAATTCATAAAGTGGCTAATTTTTCTGACTGTGATTTGTATCCAATCCATCCCCCCGTCCCCAAGCCCACCAATGCCCAACCGTTGTGTAAAAGTGCCACAAAAAATCACCGTCGAAAATCGCTGTCGGAAAAGTCACCGGAAAACTATATACTCTTTTCGTGCTAATCTGTGTCAAATTCGTGCCAAATCCGCGTGAATCTCGTTATTGTTTATTGTGTTTATGTGTTGCATTGCATCAAGACATACACAAATCATATTCTCAACTTTACCGCTAAGCTTATGTATGGAAATAAGTGAACTACACGGTAGTGTCATGTTTGAGGTAGGATCCATAAAAAGATAGATTATCGATGAGAAGGGCACGATAGACATGTAATTCGTGTCTGCCGAACTTCAACTGGCTATTACATTCACAAAGGCGTAGATGAAAATAGATTCAACTTTTTCATCTAAATTGGGAATGTTGAACATCAATGCTTAACATTTTGCATTGAATATAATAATAATCTTAATAGAAAGAGTAAAAATTCTCATTTTGTTAATGTAACGGTTTCTACTTTCTAGCATGATTATTTATGAGTTGTCAAGCCTAAAAGTTGATTTTTTTTTCTAAACTGGTCTGACTTTTAGAAAGCAATAATTAAAGTGATCAGAAGCAACACGTTTTTTATCTCTTATGTTTTTATTTTATTGATTGTAATACTACATCTGTTCTTAAATAAATACAACACTTTGACTTTTACACTATTCACATGTTCTACTTTGATTACGTTTTATTTATTAATGTAATAATATTATTTTATGAAAAAAATATTGTTAAACTTGTCTCATTGTAAATATCCATAATCTAATTTTTTTTCTAATTTTTTTACTAATACAAAATCATTTATATTAATGGTCAAAGTTGTGTCTCGACAAGTGTGAAATGTTGACCGTTGCATTTATTTAAGAACGGAGGAAGTATTTACTAAAGTGACTCTTCACGCACCATATGTGTGAAATGACGTGTCAATGATTAACAGAAGGGGCGAAAAATCACTAATGAATTTCAGTTTGTTCTGTACTTCTGTGTTTATGTTTTTGTTGTAGGCTGTAGCTATCTACATTGTAAAACTTGCACAAGAATAGAAAATGAGCTTGAAGAAGAAAGTACTTGTGTTACTTAGTAATACCCCAATTTTATTTTGAAGTAATAGCTGATACTTCTCATTGTGAAATGTGGATGCAATATATTCTTCTACAACCACATTGGTCTGTAGCAAATGTGTTCCAACTTTTTTTGCAAGCATAACAAACCAAGTAAGGTGCAATACTAATTCGACACCACAAGGTCACAAACTATAGAAGTTATTAGTAATTCTATGTGAGCACAATAATACGGAGTAGTTCAAAGATTACAAAGTACGTATCAACACACAAAAAATCAAATATTTAACCATTTAGAAGTGAATACTTGTGAGAAATTACTACTACTGCCTAAAATCATAAATTTAGTCTACTAGTTGACTATTACTATGTACCCAATACTAATTCTAACAATTCAAAATCTGCTAAATATAGTAAAATACTAATTCAAACATATTAATTTAAACAAAACACTAAATAGTAAAATATATTTCATCGAGGAATCAACATATTTAATCTATTTAGTTTTTCATTTTCATTTTCATTGGCACTCGGGTAAATGAAAATGAAAAACTAAATAGATTAAATATGTTGATTCCTCGATGAAATATATGTATACAGCTACAATTCAATGCATAATAGGGGTGTGTGCAGCAAGCCAAGTTCCACTTTGGTTGGTCAACCAGCACCATTTGTCTCCATCGAGGCTTCAGTTCTTCTGAAAACCGACGAGCTATATTGAATCATCAGATTCGTCAGAATCACTTCTCTCACCAGCGGGGCCAGCATCAGGAACACTGAGTTTTGCTGCATGCTTGGTTGCTGCTTTCTTATTAGCAGTGCGTGCATTTTCTTCACCGTCTTCCTCTTGTTCAGCCACTTCCACATGTGATCACACGATCAAGGACAAACAAATGACAAAAAGAAGGCTTGACACAGAAACCAGAAAGAAACATGCAACTCCTTTCCCTTTAGTCCGTGAATGGTGGACAGAAGTGGGCAATAAAAAACTTGGTATTGTGCACTGTGCAGCATACAAATTGGTGACAAGGGTTGTCATCCTTAGTGTGAAAATCAAATTTAAAAGTTAAAGCCAAAAGAAATGTCTGTCAAAATTGAGGTATACCCCTATGTTGTAAAAACCGGACCGGAGAGTGACCCGGCCACATGACTGGGTCACGGGTCAACCCGGACCCGGTGGGTCAACCCGGTCAACACCGGAAAACCGGTCAATGATTATACGTCTATATAATAATAGTAAACATATAATTATATATAAAATTATAATAAAAATTAGTTATTATTCATAATAATCAACTAACAATGCTACTTATTAAGCATTTAATACACTCTTATAATATTTCAATGCATATTTTGATCTTATAAAAATATATAATGATATTTTTATTTTTATTGTATATCTATATTATAATTTGGCATGATGTTCATTATTAAATAAATATATAAATATATTATGTAGTTTTTCTTTTTAAGGTATTGAAATTGCAATTTTATTGGTATAAAAAATGCATTAAAAATAAAAAAGAAATTACTTTTTTTAGTAAAAATACTCAAAAACTGGGTTTTGCCGGGTTTTTCGGGTTTCTTGGGTCCGGGTCTTGACCGGGTTTTCCCGGGTCAGCCGAGTTTTTCTGGTTTTTGACCATTTCTGGGTTTTGAAAAAACCGAACCAGTTTTTTGTCCGGGTTCCGGGTCAACCCGGCCGGGTCAGGTCGGTTTTTTAAACATAGGTATACCCAACACATTTCTCTCCATGCACTTTTGCTCAAATTTCCATTCGTGACTGTTTTTTACTTTTTAACTCTAGAAGACAAATACATTTGCCTTTTAAGTGCTCGCTTGGTAACTCTTTTTCAATGGCGGATCAGCCTTATTAGCTAGCTTTTTACAAAAATACTATTTTTTTTATTTAGTTATGCACTAAATTGACGGGAAAGGACAATTTTAGTTTTTTTTACATATAATGTTTTATTTACCTTACTAACTAAAATTACTTAAAATGAAACTTTTTCAAAATTAAGCAGATTCAACCAACTCAGCTACAGCTTCAACAAATCCAAAAGGTTCAGACAATATTAGTCTTACCAAACGGCATCAAAATCTTTTCTTCACAACTTTACTCACTCAATCATCTTCCGTCTTTTTCATGCTTTTATATAAACCTTAAAACTCTACTATTTATTTCAAGAAAAATACTTTCTGGGGCCAGTAAATGTGAACTGAGAAAAATATAAGGCTAGAAAGGACTATATAAAACAAACCACTTGAAGGATATCTATATTCTCTGCCGTTCCACCAGCCATGATATTCTGCAAATCTTTCTCCACACGCCTCACAAGCTCCGGCTTCAAAATACAACACGATTACTATATTATTAAACTCCGTGTCAGCTTCATATAAATCTAAGCAACATAACATTTAGTTTATTAAACTCCGAGTCAAAAACAGAGCATTAAACGGGAGTGTAGGGACTAAGGCATTAGGCCACAAAGAAATGTACACTTCAAATTTGCTTGTTTACGGGAAAAGAACAAAGTCAGTCAGAGTTTTATATACTCCGTATAAAAAGAATGACAGCAGCATTACTCACATTTAGATCTGGCTCCCTGCGAAACCTTCGCCTCCGAGCATCTCTCATTGGAGGGGTGAGGCCATGTTTGTACTCCACTCCATCAGGGGCAGGATCACCTTCTTCCCTCACCAGAATCATCTATGAAAATAAATATTAAAAACACACGAGCAATAAAGTAATGCACCACAGCTATATTCAGACAATAAGAGGAAAATATTTGGATAAGTCATAAGTGTAATATGCCTTTGGACTACCTGACCAATATCTGCCGTTTTGATTAGCACACTATCATCATAAGTCTTGTAAGATTCTACTATACATGGAAGATCCAGGAGGGATGTAGGGAAGCGTTCATTTCCTATGACAAATGTGCCACTCCTACCATCCTCTACAAAAAAAAACCAAAAAAATCAACTAACAAAGTATGAACAAGAATAATTATGAAAATATATGATGTAATGAAGTATTACTTAATGACACTGATAGGCATCATGTTTAATTTGTAATTGTTCTGTTTCACTATCAACAACCTCAACCCACCAATTTAAGTGAACCAGCTTATAGCTTAAGGCAGACACTATAAAGTATAAACCTCAAAAGACAAAATCCTATTTTTACATGGAGACTCTTATAATTACATCTAGAGGTTAGCATAAAACCCATAGCATTGCTTATGAAATTCTTAACTAAATCTTTACAGCCAAATAGTTGACTAGAAATTGCAACACAAAATTTATTTGTGTCAAAAGCTCCCGATATATTACAAAAACGCCATGTACACTTGGGTGCAGGGGTGAGATGGAAAGATAAAAACACAGATAAGCCGTAAGCATACCTGATATTGACAAATCCAAGTCTTTGTCCTCTGAAGCATTCTCGCTTAGCAGGCGGTCGATTCGCTCAGCCACAGAGGGCGGAACCCTGAGTATGAATTGCTCCTCCATGTCTTAAGCTTTAAGTGAAATTTCTGTAAATTTATTACCGAACTAATCGTCGGGCTTGCGGAGATCAGGACAGGTCGTCGTCGTCGAGGCAAAGTGACATCTGGAGATCGCCGATTAACGGCCACACACCTTCTGAAGTGCGATGTGCAATTAATACAGCTCCAAAATGGAACTTCAGGCGTGAGCTTTGATCGATCGTTTACTGCGGGCGACAAATTTGCGACGGTAAATAGTGTTTCTTCCAAACGGTTTTGGGCTTTGATTTGAGGATGTTTTTAAGGGTACTGAATTTTGCTGTGTTGGTCTATTCAAGTCCTATTCGTATTATCTGATTTTAAGTGATGTCTGGTATGATCTCATTTGATCTAATCTCATCTGTTTAAATATGATCGAATTCAAAATATTCCAAATAAAAACATCCTAAGTTTGGATGTGATAAAAGGCTGCATCGTAAAAACTGGACCGACAAGTGATCCAGTCACATGATCTGTTACATGTTAACAAGGCCCCGATGGATCAACTCGGTCAAAGTCAGAAAACAGGCCATAATATAATACAGAGTATAATATAAAAAAATTATACTCCGTAATAAACATGCACAGTAATCATAAAAAAATTGAAAAGTAATTATTGCTCATTACAATCAACTTGTGGTAATAATCGATGTGCATTTAAAACACTCTCATAATATTTTAAAACATAATTTTGATCATATTAGAATAAATAATGTTGTTTGTTATTTGTATTTTACTTTATAACATAATTCCAAATCATTTTCCTTCTTAAATAAATACGCAGTATAAATATATCACATATTTTCTCTATTTAGAATATTGAAGTTGCAATTTTGATTGATTTAAATGATTATTAAAAACCATAAAATAATTAATTTTTTGGGAAAAAAACCCGAAACCGAGATTTTCAGGGTTGTCTGGGGTTTTCCGAATTGACCAGGTCTTCCGATATTTTGCCATTTTCGTATTTTTAACCACCCAACCAGTTTTTGGTTCGGGTTGCCGGTTTTCGGGTCAAATATACATCTGTTCTATTTTTTTAAACAAATATATCTCTGAAGTTTTTTTATCGAATACCCCTAAAGTATTTGTGAAAGTGCATATATAGCCTTAAACTTTTTAAAAGGTACATTTAAAAGGTACAAATATACTCCTCATATTCTTATAAAGGAACAAATATACTCTTATTGACTTTAAATTGATAAAATAAATTTCAAAACACACCAAACATAAATTATAAATTCAAAATTAAAAAATAAAAATTTAAAAATGTACTTTTGTCCAATTCTCCCTTTTATTGTTTGTAAATCACATTTAAATATTGTTAGAATGAAATGTTATTTCAAAAGATTACTACATATTTAAGATTTTTCCGAAAAAGTGTTAACTTATGTGTTCCAATCCAAAAAAATATATATATTTTTGTTGCATTCTTTGCACTATAAAATTACATATTTTGTATGATGATAAATAGTTCAAGATTACACAATAGTGAATTTAATTTTATTAAGTTTAAACAAAATCAAATAATGTTATTTCAAAAAATATAACAATGTGTTCAAAATTTCATAACAAGACTAAAAGTAATACTAGTATTAATGAATTTGAAGTGCTTTATTTACAACGGAAAAATAATAATTTAGAAATTTAAAATTAAAGAATTAATATTTTAACATAATAATAAATCTTTATTTTTAAATTTCAAATTTATATTTTATTTTTGGTGTTTTTTGAAACTTATTTTATCTATTTAAAGTCCATAAGGGTAAATTTGCGTCTTTATAATAACATGAGGGGTATTTTTGCACTTTTTAAAAGTTCAGGGATATATATGTACTTCAACATATATACTTCAGAAGTATATTTGTTCCAAAAAAATAGAACAGATGTATATTTGTTCTCCCACCCATAGTACAAGGGTATATTTGTTCTCTCACCCATCCGAACTGTCCAGGCCGGTTTTATAAACATAGATGAAGGGGTATCCAAAATATGCCGCAGAGAGGAAGTTTGACTTTTTATGTGGATCAAATAAAAATTAAAGAAGTCTTAATATGAAAAATGCGAATGATTTTCACTCATTGGATATGAGATTTGATAGCTCTAAAAGTGTGAATGATTCATCAAATATATTAAAAACATGCATAATTTGAAGCGAAAAAACCGTGCACCAAAGCAAATGTAATTTTTTCACTTTTTCACGTTAAATTCTCTTTTATTTGAGTTGTATCCTATATATTTGTGTGTGTTGTGAATATGTTTCTTGCTTTAAGTAAACAAAACTTGTATTAGTGGCTTTTCATTTTTCATGCTCAAAATATGTTTGATAACACTGAATTTGACTGAATCGGTTAAATCTGACGTAATTGATGAAACTTTAGCTGAATTGTCTGAATTGGCAGATTTGCTGAAGTATGAAAAAAATTATATTTAAAAAAAATTATTACTAAAATAAAGAAAAAGTATATAATGGAAAATAGCAAAAAGCTGTTCCTCTACAATAACTCCAGCCAGAGAAGTAACTTCAACCATCTTATTTTGATCATTACACAATTTAGAATGCGAAATCAAAATTTACATACTTGATAAAAAAAATGGATTGACAAGTTGAAAATCAAGCTATGTAAGGGGCACATAGTAAATGTGTAAAACAAGTTACTCCATCAATTCTTCAATGGCTCACACATTTTTCTTGTGAGGTTTTTACTTTTTATTATGACTAGTAAACTCACCCGTGCGATGCACGGTCTGAGAATTGTCCTTCAAATTTGTTTGTGGTCACTAATTCAAATTACACTATCAATTGATGAGAACATCTATCTCCATGGAATATTGATATAACTTCAAACAACAAACAAAAAACACTTATGATATATATTATAGTTTAAAAGAGAGCACTAAGCATTACTTAAAAGGCCAAAAACATCCAACAAATACTTAGAAACCATAACATTGTAAATATACATTTCATGTAACCTTAAACATTGTTTAACACTTTTTGGATACAACATCACGAGTCTTGTTCAATGTTTCCTTCTTCTTCGTCAATACCCGTGTGATGCAAGATTGGTGAAATTTCGCGGGTATAATTAACATTAGCCAACATTTTAATTAAAAAATGAACAAACTTGTAATTTTAATTGATTTGTTTAGAATTATACTCCATACAATAATAAAACTTGACGTAAATGAGACATATGAAATACTATTTACTAATGATTACAGAGTAGTACATTATTTTTTATAGCCCGCAAAATAGTAAGTAACACGCAATATAAATATCATTTGAAAACAAATTACATTCCATGACAATTTTTATGAAACGCTGCTTTGTACCTTCTGTCTAGCATTAACCCTTGTTAAAAGGGAAATTACACTAAATAGGACAAAAAAGTTTTATGTATTCCAAAATTGGACCTTAAACATGACAATATTTTTCAAGTTTGACATTAATTACGCCTATTTTAGCAATAAAAACATGACAGTCTTATTTTGGAATTCTCAAACATATTTACTCATATTCGAAAATTTTCCCTTATTAAAATCCTTCATTCAAGTAAATTTTTTACAAAGATTTTTTTCATTTTCAAATCAAAGGTCTATATATGTTAACTGAAGGTATAAATTTTTATACTTACTAAATAATACGGTGACATTACATCTATACGAATTGCATTATTTAGACGAATTGCTGATGCAACCTGGCAAATCAAGGACTGCAGATATGTGAAAATGTGTTATGTCTTTATCTATACGGATTGTATTATATATTTAGACGAATTGCTGATGTAACTGGGCAAATCAGAGGGGTGTGCAGATATGTGAATGTGTTATGTCTTTATCTATACGAATTGCATTATTTAGACGAATTGCTGATGTAACCTGACAAATCGGGGGGGGGGGGGTGCAGATATGTAAAAATGTGTTATGTCTTTATTTATACGAATTGCATTATTTAGACGAATTGCTGATGTAACCTGACAAATCAGGGGTGTGTGCAGATATGTGAAAATGTGTTATGTCTTTATTTATACGAATTGCATTATTTAGACGAAATGCTGATGTAACCTGACAAATCGGGGGGGGGGGGGGGTGCAGATATGTGAAAATGTGTTATATCTTTATCTATACGAATTGCATTATTTAGACGAATTGCTGATGTAACCTGGCAAATCAGGGGGGGTGTGCAGATATGTGAAAATGTGTTATGTTTTTTTCTATACGAATTGCATTATTTAGACGAATTGCTGATGTAACCTGTCAAATTAGGGGGGGTGCATGTATGTGAAAATGTGTTATGTCTCGTTAAAATAAGACGTGTCCCGTTACACAACCCCATTGAATGATCGATATTTTGCAAAAGCATCACCGGGGTCTCTACCTTAACCCTTAAGGCCTTAACTCATTATTCAGTCCACCAAATAATTTTATACTATTCAAGAACTCAGGTGTGTGCAATCCCGCCATTAGATCGGTCGTAGAATCTACATTAGAAACACTGTCAGAACTAAGATATGTTTTAATTTTGAAACTTCACCAACATTAAGAGCCATCATATAGTCATTAACAACCTCAACCATAGCCAGTGTCGGTGCCAAAATGGCACAGTCGCGCAAACAACTCATGTCACCTGCAGATTAAACATATTCCGGAAATATGTTTTCAACCATCGCAACTATATGATCTCCATGTGTGCGTATAAATAGATCTTCAGGATTAATAATAATACGAACATGATCATCATCCGATCTAATTCACTGTGCTCACCTCCAAATTCCACCAATAGGAATTCATCTCTTTAAACAGGACTGCAACTTTACTGTGCCACCTCTATCTTCACCAATAGACATTGTTTCATTGAAATAGTGGTTGAATCGGCCAACTTTTAAACACTTCACCAAGCATTTCTTTTTAATTTCATTTTTAAGTTTTTGAAGAATAGACAAATGATTCATGGATGTTGACGTTTTTCAGCGGGAGTACTGTTCCAAAACTTATTTTGCTTTAATATATTAATAGATATCCAAGTATGATCTGGTCTGGTTTGTTTAAGTTTGGTTTGAGACTGAAATAAGTCGTCTAAGCATAAACATATGAAGTAATATGGTGACTATGCATTTATACGAATTCCATTTTTTACACGAATTGCCCTGGTGAATTGGCAAATCAGTGGGGTGCAAATATGTGAAAGTGTGTTATGACATTATTAAACAATACTTAAATATGAATGTGTGAGAAAATGTTAGTTGAGTCCGTATATGAAAAGTAATGCCATCATTTAAGCACAATAACTTCATTAAAGCACAATTAAATAAAACGTATGTTTGCACCACATGAAGCCATGAAGGTTGCATTTATGAAGATTCTAACGCATGTCTATATGTTGAAATGTGCAGGGATATTTGATGCTTCCATCTATTTTGTTTCTGTGAATGTGTAATATTTGTTTTGGTATTATTTTGAGTTTCAATTGGAAGTGTTATAATAATTAGATATAGGATAGATTTAGGACATGCCCAATTAACTCCATGCCAGACCCGGCCGGGTACGCTCCTCTAGCTACACATTGCGTCCTTTTGAATTTTTTCCCATGTCATTACACTCTTATATGCATATTTACACCGAAAACGTTTTTTATCAAAAAATATCAACTTTTAATTTTTCAAATACAATTTTTTCCTCAAATACTATCAACTTTTTCCTACTAAATATTATTCTAAAATCACTTAATATTTTTTTAAAAAAATAGAAGTAATCTCAAACATTCCCTAAATGACTTAAATTTATTCCCAACCCAAAGGTTTTAGTGAGTGTTTGCAAACGCTTAGAAAAGCATTTGCCAGTTTTTGGCTTAAAACCCTAAAAAGAGTACTTTTTAAGTAACAAATTCTGCTTAAATAAAACACCAAAAAGTTAAAGACTAGCATATGTTTTTTACTTTTTCTATTACATAAAAAAGTATATATTTTATCAAACATTATCAACTTTGTACATTTCAAAATCATTTTTTTCTCAAACACTATCAACTTTTATATTAATCACTTTTTCTAAAAACATTTTATAAAATGCTTTTTTAAAGCAAAAGCTTTTATAAACACTACCAATGTCAAGCTTTTAAAGCAAAAGCTTCATAAAATAAAAGCTTGTATAAACACCGCCGCTTGACTCAAAAACTGAGCAACGAAAACTCTTGTCCAGCCAATTGACCCAACACAATCTCTCCATTCAAAATAAAACTCTTGTTCCAAAGATGACTATTTTAACTATTTTATAATAAAATATATTTTAAATATAATTTCCTATTATTTAGCAGACTCAACTCATGCAACAATCTTAATCATAGCTTTATAAATATTAGTAGAATAAGAGTCTGTTTGGTGACACTTTTTTCGGCTTATCAGGCTTATCACCTAATTTTTTCACCAAACACAAAAATTTTGTTTTCAGGCACTGAAATTTGAAAAAATAATAAAAAATTATAGTTGAAGTTACTTTTCTAGCTGTAATGGCTGAAGTATGGCAGAAAATCACTTCGGCTGGCTAGTTTTCATATATTTTTTATTTGGTTTATCAATTACAAATATACTTTAAATATAATATTTAAATAAATCAGCAAAACCAATCAATAAAGTCACTTCATCCACTTCATCCATTTCAACAGAATCGACAAATTTTAGTGTTACCATACTGCATCTAATTTGAGTGTTGAACTCAAAGTATCTCAATAATGAAAAAACTAAGCGATATCAGACTAAAGGTAAATTTCAATTGTGTTAAAAAACTTTACCTACTCTCTCCCGTTCCATTTCCCTTTCTCATTCTCTTTTCGTGTTTGTTCACCTTTGCCCTCCTCCATTACAAACGTTCCAACTCCACAAACCACATTTCCTACATTTTCTTCTCCTGTCAGAAAGATTGGCGTAGTAGCACCCCATCAGACGGCACCCGTTCTCCGACTTTCTCCCCTCCAATTAACGGAGTAGTTCGTCAATCTGTTACTCCTCCTTTTCAATTTTAACTTTTACGGAGTATGTTAGATCTATAAGTTTGATCTGATTTTATTGCATGCATCAAAGTATATGTATGGTTGTATTTTTCGGAGGCTTTCCCATATAGATCGACGACTTTGAGAATGTTCTCGTATAGGTCTTGCTTCAATAAAAATAAATTAGCGATTTATGTAAAATTAGTCAACCTCAAAGTAACCTATATGTATTTTATTTTAGTTTATGACTTTATGCATTAACAATATAAAGTGTTTAGTAGTAGTATTTACAAAAGGAAATATGTTTGTCCGTATGAAATAAAGAAAGGTGCGTATGAACTTCTTTTTTTATTTTCGTTGTTAGGAATCCACTTAATCAGCCAAAAAATTTGATATTTTATGGGAACACCCATGAAGATTGAAGATGATTGTACAGTACTGGAAATGAAGCACCGAGAAGCATCTAGAGTTCATCTCTTTCTCATCCCACAAAGACTTCATCTCACCTCCCTCTTGCGCCAACGGCCTCTCGCTTTCCGCCGCCTCTCTCTTATATCTTCCTTTTCTCTCTTACCCTCTTCGATATGCTTCCTCAGTGTTATCCACCTTCCCAATCACAAAGGCATCGGCAAAGCGCACACTCTCTCATGGAGTTCATATTTTTAGACCTGCAAATTTGGATTGGACCAATCTTTCACCTTTTTCTGCAGCCCTACACTAAGATTTGATTCCGCATGGCAGTTCGAATGAAAGGAAGATTTGATCGTTCAATCTGTGCTACCTATAATGAGGTAAGATTCTGCTTTATATTATACCTACACTTTAGTTATTGATATATTCTTTGCATATATCATGAGAATGGTTTAAGATCTTCATATGTTTTTGTACTCTTACACGGAATTTTACATTTTTTAGACCCTGACCAAGGCGATTGAATGATTTAGACCGGATTACACTTACGACTTTATGAACTCAGTGTACAACTGTTATCTTCAGGATACAAATGTTGAAATTTGAAAATTTCTCAATTTATTGTTGAATGGGAACTTGGAATTTATCATCTTGTTTAGTCATACTCTGTATGTTGTGTATGTTGTTCTTCTGAAACAGGAAGTCTGGATTTCATTGAATATGCCTTATTTGAAGATTGCTTGAGTACTGCAGATCAAATTTGATTTTTCTGTACTTGTGATACTCTCATACTCATTCTCCCATGTTAACATACACAATGAACTTATTAGTAGGACATAATATAGTATTACGCACATGCTCTAACATACACACATATAATTATATAACATCACCGTGTAAAATAGAAGCACTCCATAGACATTGATCATCCTTCCTTGAGCTTGAGAATACAAATTGAGACCCTTTTCAAGCAAACCCAGAACACTCTCTTCTTTAATTAATGTAATATGTGTTTTAAAATAAAAGCACCATGAAGATGTGTGTGTATAATATGTGTATACACACAAATTTCGAACTACTGAAATTTTAGTAATGGATGAGCTTGTGAGCAACTCAGTAGAATAAGGGGCTATTAATAGTTGAGTAGTGAGCTACGGTATATGTTACTCCGTACGTAGCATAAATTAAAATGTAAATTTTATTTATAGTACAGGAAATCTGATTGTGATCTTGTTTGTATTTTTTTGTTTGTATTTTTATTTTTACAGAGCAAGTTGTTCACGGTGAGATCTTTGGAGATCTAAATCCTTTGATAGATGACGCCACACTGTTTCGAGATTGGATCATTGGAACCATATATTTTTGCGGGTTACTCAGTATCATTTTTTATTTTGGTCTATATACAATGAACCTCTTGTGTAGTCACATCAATACAGAGGAAACGTATAAAGGTGTATTAAAAGTTTTGTTTATCACTATGCTTTAAAAATTTCTGACCATGCAAATTGTATTTTAACATTATTTGAAAAGCACCATCGTCTGAAACAATCTTTACTCCAATCTTTAATGCACTGTATAAATATTTTACTCCGTACTAACTTATTTTTTCAATGGGAGAGAGTATTCATACACCGTATGCCTTATATTTTTATTTTTATTTTTTCAATGGGAGAGAGTATTCACACACCGTATGCCTTCAGATGATGATGATGTTTTTGAGCGGCAAAGCACCAAGTCTAAAACATTTTGCTTTTAGATATTAATAGATTTGACTCATATTCCCATTTTATTATAGTCTGTTGCTTTTTTCATACAGAGTATCTACCTCACACTTTTTATCTTTTCTCCTTTTATTTCTCCTTTTCCCGAGTATTCTTCTGTTTTACACATGTCAACCTTACTTATTATTCATTAATGTGTGTTTAATCTATGCATATCTATGCATTATGCAAATCTATGCAAAATACCTAATGTGGTTGAAGAATTGAGTATCCCTCATTTCTTCAATAGTTGACTCATATTTCTATTTTAAAACTTTATCACCATTTGACCAATTTGCATATTTGGAAATTTCTATCCTCTCTTTTCATATTGTGTTTTCTAATACTTTTCAATTTTTGATCTCTTTCTACTTTTTATTCCCTTCTTTCATAATTTTCTACCTTTTCTTCTTTACTTCAATACCTTTTCAATTATTATTATTATTGTTGTTGAGGATCGATTCCGTCGCCGTATTCCGGCTCAGGCAGTCCGGAGCTCGGTTTCCGATCGTCTATTGTGCACTCCTAAGCTAAGGGAGAAACTTCCCTAGATAGCCACGCCTACACTCACACTTAACTTTAGCCTCACAAAGAAGAAGAAGAAGAAGGAATGCTGCCTCACCAGAACTATCTCTCGGCCAGGGAGGAAACAAGGTTCAACTAATGAAACTGGCTTAGCTTACAAGGTGCAAGTCTGCCCATATGTATACAGAAGAGACTTTTGGCGTATTAGCCTAAGGATTGGACGACAGACAATAATACATGGCAACAGCTCAAGCAAGTTGGACTATTCCAACACAACCACACAAACAAATATCTCACAACTAACTTAATAATGCCACTCAATCAGGATTCAAACGAGAGAACTGAATAGGCTTAAATCAGTCTGGTGGAGAATAGAAGGTGTAGCGGGCGGCTTAAATAGGGTGTCAACTATTATTATTATACAAAAAACGTTTGGGCTAACAATATATTAACAATCTCCACCTTTGGCCCAAGGTAGTGCACTTAGACAATCACGGAACCGCGGACTCATCATTGTCGGATCATTACAAGCTATGTTCTAAAAATCGTTTTAGGCGCCCAACTAGTCCCCGCCTAGGCGCTAGGCGGTGGCTGGGCGCCCCGATTTTAGTCTAGGCGCTCCGACTAATTGGTTTGTCGTCTAGGTAAATTAGTCGGCCGCCTATGGCGCCTAGTTGCCCGCCTAGAGCGCCTAATCAGCCGCCTAGGCCGTCTGGATTCGTTGAACATTACTTTACGTTTTAAATTAAATTTTCCAAGCGATATATGTACTTTCACTTTATTCATGGATATAAAGAAATGAAGTTGTAAATTTAGAAAAAATTATACATGTTTGTATATATATCTAAATTTTATCATTATTTATATTTATAACATAATAAAATTGAGTGATTAGTTATCATATACTACGTATGATTAAATGTGATAATTCTATCTTTCATGTTTGTTAATGTATATGTTTATATGTATTTTATACACACAAAATTACAATATTACTTATCATATTTATGCAAAAATATAGATAAAAATGCAATTTCTATGTCTCCGACTAGTCCCCGCCTAGGCACCCGCCTAACCGCCTAGGCGCTAGGCGCTGGGCTGGCGCCAGACTAGCGCCTAGCGCCTTTTAGAACATTGATTACAAGTATAATCACAAAGACAATACAAGTAATAGAGAGACACAAGTACTCTCGGGGTAAAATCACCAAGCTTACCGAGTCCATAAAGGACTTAACTTTACCATAAGGTCCTCGAGTTCAAAACCGAAACCATCACAATGCTATTAACAAACACAAGGTATGTTAATAGCCCACGCAAACAAGCATCCGGGAGAAGTTGGGGATTCCAACTAATCCAACAACCACAGATAACAAGCACAAAGAAAATACAAGAAATAATATTATTTCTACAACTAGCACAGGTAGAGCTCACACAATCACTTGGTATCACATTTTCAAAACACAAAGAAAATAGCATACCAAATATCACAAAGATTTTAATTAAAAGAGAATTAAGCACATTTAAAGCGGACTCAGAGTAAATATAGTCAAACACATTGCACATATAATTTCTCACATGCTTCCTAATGTCTCTATCTCTAATAACATGGCAATCATGCAACTCAAGCATATTGCACACAACATTCATATCATGCTCCACCTTAATAGAAATATTATTTTCTTTATTTTCACCATGAAAAACATTTTCATTCACAAATTTGGGTTTGGTTTCAACAAGTAAATCGAAATGAACTTCAACAGGCAAATGCTCCACCTCATTTTGAGCAACATCAGGAGAAACAAGTAGGCAAGGAAATTCATTTTCAACAAAAATGACATTTCTACTCATCAACACATTGAAGCAAGTTTCACTCCTACACCAAAGCCTATAACCTTTCATGCAATCATGATATCCTAAGAAAACATATTCCTTAGTAATACAACCAAACACTCTCAAATTTGGCAAGTCAAACGGTTTGCCCATGAACACAGATTTAGGACATTTCCCTCATAAGGGAACAGACGGGACAGATTAACCAAATCAACAACATAACAAATAGCTCCCCCCCCCCCCAGAACTTATTAGAGAGCCCAGATGAAGCTAACATAGCCCTCACCCTCTCTAATAAAGTTCTAACCATCCTCTCAGCAACCCCATCCGGTTGGGGTGTGGAGGGAACAGATTTATGCATAGAAATACCCCAAGTATCACATAAATCACCAAGCTGATCATCACAGAAATCAAAACTGACAGTGGTTCTTAAAAAATTAATTTTCTTACTGGTTTGTTTTTCAACAAGGGTTTTCCAGTTTTTAAACTTATCAAAAACTTCAGATTTATTCTCAATCAACAAAACCCACACTTTCTTTGAAAAATCATCAATCAACGTCAGAAAATAATTTTTCCCACCATGAGTGGAAACACTATAAGGACCCCACAAGTCAACATGAATACAATCAAGCACATCGATACACTTAGGCAGATCAGGAAAACCAACTCTAGACTGTTTTCCTAGCACACAGGGTTGCACACAATTCACAGAATCAAGTAGGGGTTCAGCATGACAAACATACAAGTTGTTTTTCATCTCAACTTTGAAAACAACTAAGCAACCCTTCACAACTTTCATGATTCCCTTTCCCCATTTTCCCTTCAAACCCCCATTTTCAAGAGAAGCACAAAATAGCAAATTACAGCAGAGCTCAGGAACATGCCTAACATTCTTCATAGTAAGCACATAACCAGAAGAGCACCTAAGGCACACATCTCCTATTCCTAGCACATTGCATTTCTTCTCATTTGCTAAAGACACAAAGCCATGCTCAATCTCTCTATAGTTTGAAAAAACATTTTTCAAAGGGGACATGTGAAAACTACAACCAGAATCCACCACCCAATCTGATTTACCCAAAGAATCAGATATCATAGAACTCAAATAGTCATAAGCACATAGATTTCTCATCATAAGCACATCACCTAAATCATCATCACACGTAGTCAAATTAGCATGCTCACTATGCTCATTTTTCTTAGATTTAGGACAGTCTCTTATGAAGTGACCAGATTCATGACAATAATAGCAACGCCTCGAATTAGACCTAGACTTAGATCTATGTCGTCTACTATTATTTTCTCTACCCCTCACATGCATAACCTCCTCGGATTTTCTACCCTCACCCATCTGTTTTAAATCTAATTCCTTACTCTTAAGACCATTTGCCACAATGTCAAGAGTCACATTATCTCTACCATACTTAATAGCAGATTTCACATTACTAAAGAAATCAGGAATATCATTTAAAAGAGCAATGGGAGAATAATCATCTATATGCTTATCACCACACAACTTAATATTTGAAATAAGTTTGGTAAAAACATCTAGATTTTCTTCAATATCTATAGACATATCGAGTCTAAATTTTAAGAACTTTTCAAGTAAAAATATCCGGTTAGGCAAAGGGGTCTCAGTATACAGTTCATTCAATTTATCCCACAAAATTTTAGCACTATCTAAAATTCCAATTTTTCTAATCACAGAGTCAGATAAGTTCAAATAAATCACAGAACATGCATTTTCATTCATTTCAGCCCTTTTATCTTCCGTGTCAGAAATTAAATAGGTTTCGCCAACTGCTTTAAAACATTTTTGTTGTATTAAAATACATTTAAGTTTTTGCTTCCAAATGTCAAAATCAGATTTTCCATTAAATGGAGCCATTCCATACTGATTATAAGCAGACATTTTCACAGAGAAAAATAAACAACAAAAGAAAATGTAAATTTTGCTGAAAAACAATTTAAATATTTATAAGAGGGATAAGGGTCAGATAGGGCCTCGAACTTGAAAAAAAATGTCAAATCAGGCCATATTTAGGATGCTCTGTCCGGCCGACGCCATTTGGGGTGGTTCCTGGTGGAATTTTTTGATGAAATTTTTTGAGAATATTATTCATTAAGTCTAGTTTACTCATATCAAATTTGAACTAACAATTCAATCGGGAAGGCATTCAAATGAATTCTTGAAGATAACTGCGCTTTTAACGGTACAGTTATCTTCAAGAATTCATTTGAATGCCTTCCCGATTAAATTTTTAGTTCAAATTTGATATGAGTAAACTAGACTTAATGAATAAGATTCTCAAAAAATTTCATCAAAAAATTCTACCGGGAACCACCCCTAATGGCGTCGGCCGGACAGAGCATCCTAAATATGGCATTATTTGACATTTTTTTTCAAGTTCGAGACTCTATCTGACCCTTATCTCTATTTATAAGGCTATCAATATACGAAGCAACTAGCACGAACACGTGGGGAGTATTAATGAGCACCAAACTCAACTTCAAACCCCTTGTTCTTCTGTATAAGCACAAATACATAATAAATTTTCAGCACAATACAATACAACAATTGAATCAATTTTAACAGCAGTAATAAACCTAAAATATAATTTCTACACAATAAAAGATTAAAAAATCATTACAAAAGCGATAAAAGGGATAAAAGTCAATATACCGGAGCGAAACCCTAGGAGAGGTGTTTCGACCTTACCCACCCAATTTAAAAAATTGGGATTTTCTGACTATTGACTGCCTTTGACCTGCGTTGACCGAACTTTGACCGAGTTGACCGACCAGTTGACCAGTCTTCCCTTTGCTCCAGGTGCAGCAGTAGTCCAAAAGCACAATAAGCTTCAGCAGTCCAACAGCAAAAGCCAAGGTCCCGAAGCCCAACAAGCCTAGCAACTCCAGCAGGCCAATTCTAGTAGAGCAGCAGTCTAGACTGAATCCAGCTCTCTGCTCCAGGTACAGGGTCTTCAGCGTAAGATTCACGCAAACTTCCAACTGCAGCTCCTGCTTCAAGTACTCTGGCGTTCGGGTCGAGGTATTGACAACACGCACCAGTTGCGATTGAACAACGGCGGGTCCGGCGACAGCTTCTTCTACACAGCGACGAACGAGAACAGCGACGAGATTCCCAGCCTTCCTCCTGCGACGGGATTCCAGATCCGGCCTTGAGCTCAGCGATGAACTCACTTCTGGACGGCGATTTCCCAGGCGAAGATGGCTTAGCTTCCAGGCGGCTATGGCAGGGCTTCAACTTCTGGCAAGATGCGAGCAACTGACGAACGAATGTCCAATCGATGAGCTCCAGCAACTACTAGGTCAGGCGAAGCATTAATCGACGGCAGCGAACTCGAACGACGACGTACGGCGGTGGACGGCGGTGGACGGCGGCGGTGCACGACGGAACTCAGCGAAATCGACGGCGACGACAACCCAGTGTCTGATACCACTGTTGAGGACCGATTCCGTCTCCTTATTCCGGCTCAGGCAGTCCGGAGCTCAGTTTCCGATCGTCTCTTGTGCACTCCTAAGCTAAGGGAGCAACTTCCCTAGATAGCCACGCCTACACTCACACTTCTAGCCTCACAAAGAAGAAGAAGGAATGCTGCCTCACCAGAACTATCTCTCGGCCAGGGAGGAAACAAGGTTCAACTAATGAAACTGGCTTAGCTTACAAGGTGCAGGTCTGCCCATATGTATACAGAAGCGACTTTTGGCATATTAGCCTAAGGATTGTACGGACAGACAATAATACATGGCAACAGCTCAAGCAAGTTGGACTATTCCAACACAACCACACAAACAAATATCTCACAACTAACTTAATAATGCCACTCAATCAGGATTCAAACGAGAGAATTGAATAGGCTTAAATCAGTCTGGTATAGAGAATAGAAGGTGTAGCGGGCTGCTAAAATAAGGTGTCAACTATTATTAATATACAAAAAACGTTTGGGCCAACCATATATTAACAATTATTAGTATCACTACTATTCTTTAATCTCCCTCCTTCCCTCAAATATTAAGTATGTCAACTATTGAAGAGTTATTATTCTTATGATTTTCAAATGCTTTTTATATATTTAAGGCCAATTATTTAAAAAAAATAAGGCTAATAACAACTAATTGATTGAAATATTAAAGACATACTATTCTTACTAGTGAATATTCTTTGTTTTCTGTTACGATTGTTTCCATCTTTCATTTTCTATCTGTCCCACTAAAACTGTCTCATATCAAATTTGGTAAAATTTATTATTCTGACTCTATTCTAATTTTATCAATTGAGTATAAATAAGAGGATTTTCCTAAATATTACTGTTAAAAATGTTATGGACAAAAACGTGACTTAGAATCTATTCGTGATACAATTGTGTTCAAAGTTTAAATTGAAGTAACTTACATTTAATCACTATAGTGTAAAATTGAACAAAATTATAGTCATTTATAGTTATTAACTCATACTTTTGTCCATCATATTTATGAGTAATATTTATGGAATTGATTCCAAATATAAACTCATTTTTAAGGGAAACGTAATTAAAATACCCCAAACTTAGAAGAGGTGTGAGGTAAGCACTTCGAACATGCATATGTGATTTAAATACCCCAAATCTTATATAAAAAATTATTTTAGCATCATGATCTTTCACTATTTCTTTCAAAAATGTTAATTTTTTGTGTTAATTTTAAAATTTACAATATTTTAGCATTCATGAAGATACAATTAACATTCTAAACTTCCATTGCAAAATAAATAGTATTATCCTGCACTCAATATAATTGCAACATTTTGAATTTGCTATTTAAAATTATGCAATTAACATCATAAATTTACATTTTTGAAAGATATAATACATGACCATGGTGTTGAAATAATTTTTCATTTTTTTATCTACTTTAATTATTTAAGTGACACCATTTTCTTTGAAGGGGCCCACGGTATCTAACTTCTCTATACGGACAGTTGATACGGTTGAAGGAATCAAATCAAAAAATTGTCGACCTTCCCACGCACCTCTCTTTCTCTCTCCCACTCTTTCCGCCGGAGGGAAAATTCAGAACACAAATCTTTCTCTCATCAATCTTCCGCCTGTTCTCTCGAACCAGCTGATCGATCGATATGTTAAAGGTGACGCGATTCGTCAATGCCCATATTCAATCACTAACCTAGCTAGGCCTTCCTTCTCCGCCTTTCTCAATGTCATTTGTCATGTATTTCAATACCTGATCGCCGCGGAATTTTCATGCTTGTTTCATTTCTGGCGATTTATGTTATGTTTCGCGTTTTTTAGATTGCTCAAATGAATAAGATTTGTGCGATGAGAACATTGTTTCTTAATGTAGACACCCTCCTTTATATAGATCCCAAAAAAACTTCCTTTATATATTCCTGTATTGATTCTTTTCCTGCATATTTGTTCTTCAATTTGTTGTGCAGCTGGCAGGTTGTTGAGGGTTAAAAGTGAATAGCAGCCCACCCTCTTGGATGGTAGCAGCATATCGGCAGAGCCATGAGTGGAACATCTTCAAGTATGTTTTTTAATCTAAGCATAGTCGGATACATGTTGTTTGCTGCTTTCTTGCCACTAGAGTTGTTGTTCATGGTGCACTGAATGGTATCATTTGGCTTTTCATTCTGTACACCAAGGTGTATCCAAACACGATTTTGCATGCACAGACGTGCTATAGTACATATTTCTGTCAGAAATTGTGGCATGTGTGTGTTAACAAAAAATGGTATTGGTGTACACCTTTGTTGTGTATAAATAATATTTCTCTGTTATATTAATGCAAATCTTCACATCTTTCTTGCCAAAAAGAAGAAGAAGAAACATTAGCTTGGGAAAATGCTACGAAAGTTATTCTGTTTGAAAGTGATAAGGTCAAACAAGAATACAATGTTGTCAGTTTTGCTTGAACGTCATTTAATCTGTGCATATAGAAGGGTATATGTATGCAGTCATTTTATGTAGTCAGTTTCATATAACGATCACTCGAGTTTCCAAACAAATTTTTACCTCCATCCCATGGTTCTCAAATTTTACTGCATATTTCGGTATATATTCTTAAACCCAGTTAAGTTTATCTTTATCACTTGAATTTTAAACAGATAAAAGAAGATTAAAGGAGCTTTTGCTACAAAGTGATAATCGTGTGTGTGCTGATTGTGGTGCTCCAGATCCTAAATGGGCGTAAGTTACAGCATCTGGATTTCTACTTATCTTTTTCATGCTGACAATATATGGTTTTCAGAGGATTAGGACGTATCATTACCCTTTATCTTGCATGTGTTTTAAATGGTTTGGAGTTTACTTTTGTTACTTCTAAAGGTTCATATTCTCTTTCATTGGTGAAACACATCCTATGAGGGGAAACCTTATCATGTGCCTTCAAAATCTCCAAATGGTTTGGTGTCCGGCTTGGTATGCCAGTTGAGGTCATTAAAAACCTATGAAATCTTAGTTTAAGCATCAACCACCTTTGGCACCTTGTGTCTCAGTACCTCATGGTTTAATCCTCTGCCGCGTTTTCCATTCCTTTCTAAAACCCATTCTAAATAAGGATACTAAGAGGTGCTTCTTTAGCCCGCTATTTCAAACCTTACGTGGGTATGTAGATTGTAGACTACTGGCAAGCTCAAGGGAACTGGCAGTTGGATATATTTCTACTCATTATATATGCTCGATGAGAATAGGGGTCTATAGTGCATTCTGTATCAAATATTGCCTCATTGTCTGCAGCTTTAATTAAAAGCAAAGTAGCCAAACTAATGAAGAAATATGTTGCCTTTTGATTTTCACAAAGTATCAATGGTTGGGATTTTTACACTTATTATTATTCAGTTTCTCTTTTGAGATGCTCATAATTGATTCTGCTCTTTCAGATCAGCAAATATTGGTGTTTTCATATGCTTGAAGTGCTGTGGTGTGCACAGAAGCCTTGGCACCCATATCTCAAAGGTGACCACTATTATTTCCATCAATCACCTTCACTTCTTTTTTGCATAGATGACATTATG